TGCACCCCGGGCAGCCATTGCTCTCTCACCAAACCAATCAAATTATAGAAACCAATAAAAGCCCCCAAATGGAACAAAAATGGAGGGAAAAAAATATTTTCACAGATGAAGTTCATATCCATTTGCTTCAATTGCCTGCGGAGAGGGAGAGACAGGAATGGTCATGGCAGGAGGGCGGCCGGGCTGCAAGAGGCTGCGACTCCAGGCAGCCGGCCAGGAGGCCGGACCCAAGCCCGCACATGCCAGGCAGGGGGCTGTGGCTGTTGAGACAAGATCTTAAGCAGTCATCTGGTCTTGAATTCTCTATGCGGCTGAGGATGATCTTGAACTTCTGGTCCTCCTGAGTACTTATATTATATATTATAGATGCGTGTCAACATGCCTGCTGCATTCTTTGGCTCAAAACTAGAAGGCTCAGTTTCTTCCTTCTTTTTTTCTTGAAGCATCACCAGGCTTTTGTAGCCCAGGTTGGCCCAGGACTCATAATTCTCTGCCTCAGGTTTCCGAGAGCTGATATTATAGGCAAGCACCACTATACCATGCACCTAGCTTACCTTGAAGCCATTCATCTATTTATTATTTGTTTGCTTATTTGTATGGGGGGCACACATGTGCCACACTACATGCATAGAGGTCAGAGGAAAATTTTTGAGCTTCAGTTTTCTCCTTCCATGGTAGGTTCTTGTGATGGAACTCAGAACGTCCAGCAGGCTGAGCTATCTCACTGGCCCTTCTTCGTTTTTTTTTTTTTTTTTTTTTTTTTGAAAAGGAAGGACAAATAAGGAAGTCACAGAAGGACAAACCAGGTAAAAATACATGTCACTAAGCTGGAAGTGGAGTTGGGAATGCAGAGCTTATGAGGACAGGAATGGTGGGGGGTGCTTAGGGGTTTATTTAAGAAGCTGCTGGTAGAAGGGGGGAGGGGAAGAGAAGAGGAAAAGAGGAGAGAGAGGAGAGGAAAGGAGAGGGGAGGAGGAGAGAAAGGGGAGGAGAGAGGGGAAGAGAGAAGATGAGAGAGAGAGAGAGAGAGAGAGAGAG